CACCTGCACCTGAGACAGCAGCTGCGGCGTACCCGCAGCAACGCCAGCACCGGGGCCACCGTGGCCCCAAGGGAGGACGTGGAGGTGGCACTAGTGGTGGTGGTGGCGGGGACATTGGTTTTGACGAGGGGGTTGGTGCTGGTGCCCAGGAGCAGCAGCAGTCACCGCAGTTGCAGCCGCCGCCGTCGTAGCCGCCGCAGCAGCAGCAGCCGTCACAGCATCAACAGAACCAGCCATCACTGCAGAAGCAGCAGCAGCAGCCGCAGCAGTAGCAGCAGCAACTATGGGCTCATCTCCCACCCAGGTGGCCAAGAGCCTCTGGCGGTGGTGGTCGTGGTGGTGGCCCTCGCAGCTCGGTGTCCACCGGCAGCTTTGGTGCTGTGAGCTGCCAGTACCAGCTTCAGACCGGGCCTCTGCGTGGCACGGTGTGCCACCGCTCACACCCCACCGCCCGCTGCTTCCGCCGCCTCGACGACCTCTTCCGTCGCCGCTTTGGTCTAGCCCCAAGGCTGAGCTGCTGAGGCAACACAACTGCACTGACCTAGGAGAGCTGCGCCGCTACCTTGGCCTGCAGATCTCCAGGGACAGAGCAACGAGCACCATCACTCTCACACAGTCACACTTGGTGCGCCAGGTCCTTCAGAGGTTCGGTCTTCAGTTCTCCTCCGCACAGCCCACACCCCTGCTGGTAGACCACAGGCTCTCAGCTCTAGTTCCCGAGGAGCCAGCTGAGCCCAGTGGTCCTTACGCAGAGCTGGTACAGTGACGGAAAAAACTGTCCGGATGTTTGGCACTAATTAGGGTTTTTAGGCTTTCCGATCACGGTACATAAAGTCTTAATGTTTAATGGTGGTACACTTTGGGAGGGGCACATAGTGGATGTGTTCACAGCACTTAAGTCCATAGTAGTACACTGGATCTAACTTAGTGCCAAAAGTTATACAAGGGGGTCATGCGGACAGTTTTTTCCCGGGACAAAGCGCAAACTTCCGAACAGGTTTCTAGTACCTAGTACACCGACCCTTGGCCTTGATCACCACCCGCACCCTCTTAGGCATGTTATCTACAAGGTTAATGCAAACCGTTGCTGAGATCTTCTCGCACTCTTCTTGGACCCTCCCTTTTGCATAAGGGGGTGAGCACTAGGAAAATTCGAAGGATTTGAGCGTCTGCAAGAGTTTTGTGCACGATTTCTGTTTGAATGTTACGTATGAGGCTAGCCACAGTGAGGTATGACCAAAGATGCCATTAGTCGATTGGTTCCATCTTATCATGGGTCATCTTCATCGTACCGCTGTATGGTAAAACCACGAACAGAGGAACGAAAACTAGTGTATATGCCGCGAAACTGCGGGTAACGTAGCATAGTGGATTGTTGATCCTTGCACTATTAGAATCACGCTAGGATCCGCAGCTCTCGTTATGGTGTAGCAGTCAAATAAGTCGCGACTGTCCGGGAAGAATATCCGGGTTGAGGTCTGGTGAAGAAAAGAGCCACTCTAGTGCTACAAACTCATGCTCTCCAATGCTATTCCAAGCCTAGGCGGTACAAATGGCTTGGAGAGCATTGGGGAGCATGAGTATGTTGCACTAGAGTGACCCTTTTCTTCACCAGACCTCAACCCTGATATTCTTCCTGAACAGTCGCGACTTCTTCGACTGCTGCACCGTGACGAGACATGCAAATCCTAGCGTGGTTCTAATAGTGCAATGATGAATAATCGACCGTGCTACGTTACCCTCAGTTTCACGGCATATGCACTATTTTTCGCCGCTCTATTCGTGGTTTTACCCTACAGCAATACGATAAAGACAACCCATGATAAGATGGAATCAATCGGCTAATGGCATCTTTGGTCATACCTCAGTGTGGCTACCCTCATACGTAACATTCAAACAGAAATCGTGCACAAAACTCTTGCAGACGCTCAAATCCTTCGCGATTTTCCAAGTGCTCACCCCCTTATGCAAAAGGGTGGGTCCAAGAAGAGTGCGAGAAGATCTCTGCAACGGTTTGCACTAGCCGTGTAAATAACATGCCTAGGAGGTTGCGGGTGGTGATCAAGGCCAAGGGTCGGTGTACTAGGTACTAGAAACCTGTTTGGAAGTTTGCTCTTTGTCCTGGGAAAAAACTGTCCAGATGACCCCCTTGTATAACTTTTGGCACTAAGTTAGATCCAGTGTACTACTATGGGTTTTAGCGCACTGAACACATCCACTATGTGCCCCTCCCGAAGCGTACCATCATTAGACATTAAGACTTTGTATACCGTGGTCGAAAAGCCTAAAAACCCTCATTAGTGTCAAACATCCGGACAGTTTTTTCCGTCACTGTAGGTTGCCTCATGTTCCTAATGACTTGCACTCGCCTAGATCTCGCATACCCTCTCAGCATCCTGGCCCGCTTTGTGGCCACAGGCAGACACCGACCACGGAACTGGTATGCCGCTAAGAGGGTTTTACGTTATCTTGCAAGAACATCGGGCATGGGGCTAGTGCTGGGAGGACCAGGCCAGTGGTCCTTACTGGGCACACAGACGTTTCTTTGGCAGACGACGCTGAGACCCTCCAGTCCTCCCAGGGCTACTCCTTCAACCTTGGTTCTTGTGCCATCTCGTGGAGGTCCACTCGCTCCCCGTTTGTTGCTCAGTCTAGCTGCGAGGCTGAGATCTAAGCCGGTACGATGGCGGCACAGGAGCTCCGCTGGCTGACCTTCTTGCTTGCCGACTTAGGTGAGTGGCCTAGCTCTGACAACATGGCCATGATCCTCCTGTGTCAGGAGCCTCGACTTGAGGGCAGAGCGAAGCACATCCAGCTGTGGTACTTCCTCCTGCGCGAGCTTCAGCAGCGTCGCCAGGCCCGCGTAGTACACTTGGCCACGGGTGCTTACACAGCTGATATCTTTACAAAGGCGCTTCCGCCTAGAGATCATCAGCGGCACTGCTTGCAGTTAGGTCTAGTCCATATTGACTCTCACTTGCTAGGCCCTTGATTGTGTACTTCGTTTATTTCTGTCTTGCAGACTGGGCTTGTGGCTTTTCCTCCAGTGGTTGAACTAGCAATGCTGCCCTGGTTTGCTCTGTCTTGCTTGTACTCTTGCTGACTGGTCTTCGGGGCCCCTGCCTCAGAGGTTGGACTAGTAGTGCCACTCTGAGCACTACCCCTTATCTAGCCTAGGGGGTGTGTCAACTTATACATATATTGTTATATATAAGTTATAAGCTAGATAGGGCATGTTCTTAGTGGGTACAACTCGAACGCTACATCCCCCCTGTTCTCATTTCTTCTAATTATTCATTCTAGTCTTAACAACAATCCCCTCATTGTATCCCTCTCTCTTTCTAGTCTGACCCCTTTTCTGTCGTAACTTTCTCCTAGCTAAACCCTCACGCCATTTTCATGGCTTCCTACCGTTCCTAGCTACCTAGCTCTCGTAACAATGACGTCAGCCAGGGCCTCAGATTTCAGGATGTTTTATCTTGAATTCCTGATTTTCAGGATGCCTGTTAGGTGCCAATCCTGAAAAATCTGTGTAAGGTCATTTTCCACCCTGTGAATTCAGTTTTGAATCATAGTGCAATCCTGAAGTTTCAGTATAGTGTTCGTGTACCAGCCCTGAGGTGTCAGTATGCTTTTGGGGATAACCCTGATTCATCGAATCTTGCGAATGCACGTGCCCTACGGGCGCATGCTTTGTTTTTTTCCGCCAAAACAAATTTCTTCGAAGTCCTCGATGCTAGAGTCAATCCTCCAAGCAGCCCCATGCTACTCTGTTTTGGCAAAGTCCTTAATGCTAGAGACAATCCTTGAACGAAACCCAACCCCCCCGCCCCCCCCCCCCGCTACTCTAAATTTTCGGTGTAGTCATCAAGTGCCTTCGACAATCCTCCACGAACCCCCCTCAACCCGAAAATATCGGCGAGCTAGACATTCCTACCCGTTTTAGCGTAGTCTTCCGCACGCACTGTATTCAAACCCCCCAAAGTCTCAACAAACGATTCACTCTCGTCGACGATCGAACGGCCCAAATTTCCGTTACTTCACTAGAACAGAACTTGGCCATCAAATTTGCAATGCCCCAAATTCCTTGGAGCTCCCAAACATCCAAACTCAAACGGGCCGTCAGAACAGCTCAAGGGCAAATGTTTCACGTTCGCCCACATGCCTTCGACTTTCCTCTAAAAATTCAGACGTGGCATTTTTCAACTGATGGCGTGTCTCAACGCCGACACAAGTCACGCTAATTCATATCAAGACTGCGTTGACGGGCAAATTTGACAAGCGAAATCCCTTATGACACGAAAAGGGCCTGACATCGGTTCACAAAGCAATAGGCCCTGAACAATCAGACTGGCGGAAAAATTCCCGGCCTGATTTGCTACGTGCGTAGATTTTCGCCAAATTTTGACCAATAGTGGCTAAGCTAGCGCAAAACATGAAGTGCCAACATCCTGTTAGTATCCTGCTGCTGTGCAATGTAACTCGGTATAGTACAATGTTTCCAACGTTTTTGAATTTACCTTGAGGGCACAGTATAAACTGGGGAACCACCCTGAGGATTCAGTATGAATATAGCCAACCAACCCTGAGTGCTACACGGTTTTTTGGAGGCTAGCCCTGATTGGTCAGGATGCCCAAAATCCTATCTGAGGCCCTGACGTCAGCAGTGGCGAGTGATCGCGTGAACAGTAGGTTCGCGCGAATAGTTACCTGAAGGGTCACGCCACTCTCAGTCACACAAACAGCCACTAGTCCTGTCAGGCGAATAGTCGCGAGCGATACACTATAACAAGTACATTTTGAATAGGTACTTCTTAGACTATAAATTATTAAATTGGCTTGGTAAGTGTTACTGGAACCTACTGTAGAGGATTCAACTCCCTCCTTGTATCCCTCTTCTGATCTCATCCTCTTTCCTCTCGACATTTCCTCCTAGCCTAAACCCTCACGCCATTCCATGGCTTCCCTTCCTACCTACATATAGTCTAACATAAATATGCCTGCATTACTCATTATTATTATCCTCGTCATTTCGTACATTTCCAATACAAGGTGTAAAGTCTTTGTTTACTTTCTACTCTTGGTTTTACCAACTCTAGATCCAGGCCACCCTAAACACGTGGTTCATTTCAACAAATGGAGTCCTCAAGGTTCGAGGTATCGGTACCATGCGCATGAGCTTGTCATCAGTGCCTTTGTTCGCGCGTTGACTCCCCCTCAACAACCCCCTTCCCATCCGTCCCCCGGTCACCATTTGATGTAGCGCAGCGGCTGCACAGCAATGGGCGAGCGCACCACGTGCCCGACCTCGTCTCGCCACGTCAAGCTGCCATAGTGGAACAGCCACGACTTGGCGTTCACCCACACCGACACCGTGAACGTCACGCTCTCGCCCGGCGCTATGGTGAACGTCTTGGGATTCACTATCATCACCACGCCGTACGGGCATACGATCGTCCCCGTGTACGTGGACGTGGTGTCCGCCACGTTCGTCACCGTGCGCCGCACCTTGCGGTACCCTTTCATGCGCCCGATCGAGATGCTCGCGCGGTTGAGGTTGCGCGGCGCTAATCTCTGCAGGGTCGCGCCGGGAAAGTACTTCTTGGCCTGCCAGAAGCTCTGGCCAGCGAGGAAGTTCCGGTAGTGGCTCTCTCCAGCATCGTAGGTCAGCCCGGGGTCGAGCATCTTAGGAGGGTACACATGCCCCGCGCCTATCTCCCACGGCGTTGCAAGCCTTCCCCAGGTGTTCTTGATCCGCTTGCCATTCGTGTTCCTGATGGTGGCGGTGGTCATCATAGCAGACATGACTTGCGCCGGGGACCAGTCCGGCTTCTGCTGCACAATGAGAGCAGCGATGCCCGCGATGTGCGGTGTCGCCATGGACGTGCCCGACAACTGTGCCAGCCCTGCGGGGTCGCCGATGGCATAGGCGGGAGTGGCGGCCCAGAGCTCCACGCCCGGGCCGATGATGTCGGGCTTGAGGATGGAGTTGGTGGGGTAGGGCGGCTGCGTGCCCTTGATGGGCCGCACCAGGGGGCCGCGCGACGAGAAGCCCGCCACCATGGGGGCGGCTATGCCCGCTGTCTCCACCGCTGCTGGCCGGGCTGCCCGTGCTGGGGTTGTGCTGTTGGTCGAGCTGGTCCGAGGGAGTGGGGAAGGGCGGATGGGGAAGGGATGGGGAGTGCTGGACTAACGCACGCGTGATGGGTTCACAGAAACGTGGATGCGTGGCTGCATGGATGCATGGACACATGGATGCATGGCCGCATGCCAATACGCATTCGCATGTGTACAGGGAAGTGGGTTTGAGAGAGAGGAGGAGAGGGGAGGAGGCGAAGGGGGAGAGAACAAAGGGCGAAGCGCAGAAAAACTGGGTGCATGATGGGATGTGAGATGCATGGCAACGCGCTCACCTGCCACTCGTAGCAACAGATGTGAGCGCCCCTGCTGTCGTCTTGAGAGCAACCCCCTTCACAGACGCTCCTCCCAGCACTGCCCCACCCCGTTGAATGGTGCTGCCCAGTGATGCACAGGGGGCATGGGGACGCATGGAGAAGGGAGGAAGGGGGGGAGGGAGAGGAAAAGAGAAATAAGGGGAGAGGGAGAGAGACAGAGCCTGCCAAACAGCATGCCATCTCACTTGGCAATGCCATCGCACCTGGCAATGCCATCTCACCTGGCAATGCCAACTCTCCTGGCAATGCCACCTCACTTGGCAATGCCATCTCACTTGGCAATGCCATCTCACATGGCAATGCCATCTCACTTGGTAATGCCATCTCACCTGGCAATGCCATCTCACCTGGCAATGCAATCTCACTTGGCAATGCCATCTCATTTGGCAATGCAATCTCACTTGGCAATGCTGTTGGGCTAAGAAAAGCCCTTAGGATCTTTTCAGAGACTAAGTCCAAGTTGTAAAAGGAGACTTTGAGTATTGCAGCGGAAGTTGAGTAGTTGAATCCTTGTACTAGTATGTGAGAACAAGTGATTGATTAAAAGAAACAAGCATACAACAATATATAGAAAGTAGAAAAGTAAAGCAGTTGTAGAATACAGTTAAAAGAGCGGTTTATCGAGTCGCACAGCGACTTGATTGACGGTTCTGTTACCATCCTTGCAGTTGTTACGGTCAGTCGCAACCTCCGGTTGCGACCCTTCGAGTCCTTTCGTGTTCTTTGTCCGTCCCCTCGTGTAACCTCCGTTGACTCGCGTACCCGTTACGACTTTCCTCGAGTGTAGTGTTACACTTCAGAAACGCTTAAGTCCTTTAGATATTTCCAACACTCCCCTTCGTTTCTGGAGTGCTGACGTGTCCAAATTCGGCGACGTTTATCTGCCCGGTCAGTAGCATGCAGTAGTCGAACTTTGCTTTCGCCAGTTTCTTCGTCAGGTAGTCTACAGCCATTTCTGTCGTGGGGCAGTAACTGAGTTGAAGTCTCCCCTTCGCGATTTCATCATTGACGAAGTAATACCGCTGGGCGATGTGTTTGGTTCGGTTGGCGAAACCGTCTTTGTTCGCGATTTTGATCGCGGATTGGTTGTCGCAGAAGAGTGAGAAGAAGGGCAGGGTTGCAATCTTTGCTTCCTCGAGCAACTCTCGCAGGTAAAGTCTTGGTCGCAGTGCAGAGAGCGATATATTCTGCTTCAGCCGAAGATAGTGCAATTAGTTCCTGCTTGCTCGACTGCCAGGAGATAGTCCCGATAGGCTCTAGTCGGTAGATGTAGCCCGTCCTTGATCGTCGATTTTCCCTGTCTCCCGAGTGGTCGGCGTCGACGTATCCGAGCAGTTGTACGGACGATGTCGTTGCTTTACTGTAGGTAAGTCCGGTCGTCGGCGTAGAGACGAAGTAGAGTAGTGCCCGATTTAATTCCTCAAGATCTTATTGTTCCGGCTGCTTCAGATGCGTCGCCAGTTGGCTCGTGCTGTAAGATAGGTCCGGTCGGCAGGTTACTGCTGCGAATAGTAGGCAGCCGAGCTTCTGCTGATACTCCTGGATTTGCTTCGCGGGGAGTTTCGCGGAGGTGTCGTTGTTGTTCCCGTAGCGGTAGGGAGTCGTCACTGTAGTCGGTGTTAGTCCGAATTTCTTCGCGACAACGCCTGCGTATTTTCCAGCGTATAGGTAGAACGCCGAGTTGTCTTCGACGACGTTCAGACCCAGGTACTGGGTCACGGTGTTAGACACCGTGAGTGTCAAGTCACTTCTGAGCTCCCCTTCGAACCAGGTGGCGATGTCGGTAGTAGAGCCGATGTAGAGCAGGTCGTCGACATAGAGGAAGAGTAGGATAAAGTCTCTTTCCTTCTGAAGTCGGTACATGCCTTGGTCGTGCGACAGCTGTAGGAACCCGATTCTGACAAGGCGACCATGAAGATGCTGCTGCGAGAGCCGCGGAGCTTGCTTGATCCCGTAGAGGGATTTTATCAGCTGACATACTTTTGTGGGGTCGTCGATGAATCCGTGGGGCTGCTCGACGAAGATCTCGGCGTCCACAGGTGCGTACAGGAAGGCGTTTGCGACGTCGATCTGGCGTAGTGGTAGTTTCTTCGTGGCCGCGACGACGAGTAGAATGCGCAAGGAGGTGTGACAGGAGACTGGGGCGAATGTTTCTGTGTAGTCGGTTCCGTATCGTTGATCGAATCCTCGTACGACCTTGCGAGCCTTGAATCGTTCGATGGAGCCGTCCGCATTGGTCTTGATGCAGTACACCCACTTTCCCGAGAGTACGTTCTTCCCGTTGATGTTCGTTGCAGGTACCAGCTTCCATGTATTTCGGTCTTGCAGAGCTTTCAGTTCGTTTTCCATTGCCTCCTTCCATTTCGCCTTATGTTCCCCCCCCCAGAGCCTGCGACAGAGTCGTTGGCTCGCGCAGAGATGGCGGCGGCGGTTGCTGGACAGAGATCCATAAGCCGAGTATCTGCAGTCCCGTGGGTGTGTGTCGAGGGGAATTTTCATTCCCGGAATAGGCTGCTTCGTCACCATATTCTGGATCAAGTAAGAAGTTTGGACCGATGCGTTCTGAGACATTCGTGTCGACCGGGTGAGGTGTAACGTAACTTTGGTCAGCGAAGTGGTAAAGGGTGTCGAGGTGGTTGCTATCGAGAGTATTGTCTTCGTCGAGTGGAACAGGTACGGAACAGAAAGGGAGTGGTCCGGCAGCTTCCGAAGGTCCAGGTACGTCTTCTTCTGCTGCGTCAGCTTCGGTAGCACGGTCGGCGAAGGAGCAAAGGCCCGCGAAGCCGTCGGTGGGGTCGTCTGTGTTGGCGACGTTGTCCAGGTAATGCTGCAGCGTCAGTCGTTCGTAGAAGATCACCTCACGTGATGCCACGGTATTTTTGTCTTGTGTGTCGAGCATTTTCGATGCGTGAAAATGTTTTGCGATGCCGAGGTGTAGTCCCCAGCGTGCTCGTTAAGTGAAGCGTCCTGCTCGGGCTGTGTGGGGTCTGTACTGTACCATGCAGCCAAAAACTCGAAGTAATTTTGTGCTGCCCATTTTTCTTGTCCACAGCAGGTGCGGTGATGCGTTGTTGGGAAGCGAGGACGAGGACAACAAATTGTGCAGGTGGACTGCATGTGTCATCGCAGTTTCATCCCGAGGAGCAGCTTCCGCATCGTTGTCTGCAAGGTCCGGTTCATTCGTTCTGCGACCCCCTGCTGCTAGTGAGCGTAGGGCAGAGACACCAGGCGTCTGATTCCTCTTTCTGCCAAGTAGGTCATGAATCGTTGTGACTGGTATTCCAGTGCGCCGTCTGACTGGAAGCTCTTGAGCTTGGTTCCAGATTCTCGTTCAGCGATGGGGAGCCACGTCGTGAAGGCTTCGAAAGCTTGATCTCGCGTCTTGAGGTTGTAGCGCCAAACATATCTTGTTGCTGCATCGATGAACGTGATGACATAGTTGAAGTCGGCTTCAGTGTCGTCTCGAGGCATGTTTAAGATGTCGCTGTAAACTTTTTCCATCGGTGCGTATGCAGGTGCACTTGGATTGTGATGTGATGGAAAAGGTTGGTGGGGAAGATCTGCTTCGGGGCACGTGAAGCACCGTGCGCCAGGTCGTCGAAGTTCTTGGCCGCTCGTTGTAAGAAGAGCGTTTCGTTCTAACACTTCGGCTTGGATGGTTTGTAGTACCGTGCTGTTTGCAGGATGCCCAAGGCGTTGGTGCCAGATGTCGTCGGAGGCGCGATGGCCGGGCGAGCGTTGGTACATGTTGGTGTTGGAGAAGAACGCGACGACCGTGGCGGGACTTCGGCAGACTTCTCGTGTGATGGGCATAAGTTGATCTGCTTCGGTTGGCGGTCCTATTATCGCTGGTGATGGTGCTCGGCTGGGTCCTGCTGCTGCCACTGCAGGTGATGTTTGGGAAGGGACGCTTGCTGGTACTTGTCTTTCTTGTCTGATGACTGCTAACGCTTGTGTTCTCTCTGCTGCAGGTATGGTGTTAGAGTACCAGAATCCATCTGGGTTGAATTCGGGGTCAAAATCTGGCGGGTGCGTCCAGACGGCGAACGACACGATGCCATCGCTGTCGACAGTACCGTGGTCGGGGACGAAATCCAACACGAAGACGTCTGACTTCAGGAAAGCGCAACCGATGAAGAGACCGCCCTTCCCGTGTAAAGGCGAAATTCGTTGTAGTCCGAGTCGCATTCCAGGTGAAACGCTTCTTTCCATTAACTGGCTGACGCTGAGTAAGTTGTATCCCAAGTTGTCGACGATGAGAACTTTGTTGAGTTGCAGTATGACGTTTGTCTCCATGGACTGTAACTGAACCACTCCTTGTCTGTTTGTTTTCAGGTTCTCGTTGTTGGCGACGGTGATGATGACATCTCAGTTGAGACGTCGTTCTCGTTGCACGAAGCGCCCGGAAGAACACATATGTTGGCCGCAACAGCTGTCCAAGAACCAAGTGTTTCGTCCGGTGGGTTCGGCGTTGGCAACTGCAGCGTATGTTGGGTTGACCTGAAGTCCTTGTGAGCGCGGCGGTGACAATTCTTATTATCTGGAGCGTAAGTGGGCGGTGATCCGGGTGCGCAGTTGTCGATGCGTACCATGCAGTTGATGATGTTCGGTGTACCTTGTGCAGATGTGGAGGAGCGCCTCGGCGGGCTTTCTTGAGTGGAGGCGACTTGTGGGTCTACTGGACGATAAGCTCGAGGACGTGTGCAGTTGACTTTGGAATGTCCGGATGTTTGGCAGTTATAGCAGAACGGCGTTACAATGGTGAGTCCTCTGTTGTCGCGTTGATCTTGTTTGCCGCGTCGGTTGTAGTTGTTGTCGTTTCTTCGTTGAGTGTAGAAGACTAATGGTTGCTGTTTCCTTTGTTGCCTTTCTTCGAACAGGTCCATCTCCTGTTGTTCAACATGAAGCTCGACGCAGAGGTGCATCTCCGAGATTCGTCCGTGTGCGCGAAGGAGCGAGCGGGTGGTTCTCCATTCTTGCTTGAACCCAGCGAGGACAAGCGTCACGAAGCTTTCTTCAGTGATTGTCCCTCCGCACCGAAGCAGGCGGTCGCAGAGTGTCTGGCAGCGACTCATATACTGCATAGCCTTTTCCCCGGTCTTCATCTGTATTGTTGTCAGCTGCTGCATGAGTCTGCTTTGTGTCACGCTGTCGTTTGCTTGATAGAGACACTTGAGGTGATGCCATGCGAGTTCCGCGGAGTTTCCATAGCTCCGATACGTTTTGATGCTTTGCTGTTCTTGTGGTGACAGGTTCCGCAGGAGAACTGTGTACGCCAGCAGCGATTGATACGTGAAAATTTCTTGCTCTTTTGTAGTGCCGTTGCTTGGGAATGGCAGGGACCCGTTGAAGTATCCCAAGAGATGCGCAGCCTCCATCAGCAACTCGAACACAAAGCTCCAGGTAAAAAAGTCGTGTCTGTTGAACGATGAGGATGTCTGCAATTTGATCACGTGTGAAAATTGCGCTTGGAGACTCAGTATCTCGCTTGGTGTCTGTTGTGATGCAGCTGCTGTTGGTTGGACACGGGACGGCATGAACTCGATCGTCCTCGGTGAATAGTGATAAGGCGCAAAGGTAGGTGCTTGATTGTGTCGCCCGAACGATGAGTTGTCGAGGCTCATCGGCGCTAATCCAATGTTTCCTCCGTTGCTCTGTATTAAATGCGTAGGTGTCCTTGTCTGCAGCTGCTAGTCGAAGTGCGACATGAAGCTGAAGAACCTTTCCATAAGGTTCGGGTCCACGCTTGAGGAGGGTGATGGGGTCACCATTTCTGGTGCTCTTCCTGTTGTTTCTTGAGCAGCGCCAGTCTCGGTTTGCAGTCTTGAAGTGTGCAGTCCAGAGTTGCCGGGTTGAGTGTCTTGGACACTGGGTGAGCCCGTAGAGGTTTTCTTGCCCTTGCTGTCCATGACTTGTAATTAATGAAGTCGTTGGTGTGCTGATTGTAGATAGAGCGTAGTTGCTGGGAGTTTGGTCTCTGACCAGCTCTCATACCATGTTGGGCTGAGAAAAGCCCTTAGGATCTTTTCAGAGACTAAGTCCAAGTTGTAAAAGGAGACTTTGAGTATTGCAGCGGAAGTTGAGTAGTTGAACCCTTGTAGCAATATATGAGAACAAGTAATTGATTAAAAGAAACAAGCATACACCAATATATAGAAAGTAGGAAAGTAAAGCAGTTGTAGAATACAGTTAAAAGAGCGGTTTATCGAGTCGCACAGCGACTTGATTGACGGTTCTGTTACCATCCTTGCAGTTGTTACGGTCAGTCGCAACTTCTGGTTGCGACCCTTCGAGTCCTTTTGTGTTCTTTGTCTGTCCCCTCGTCTAACCCCCGTTGACTCGCGTACCCGTTACGACTTTCTTCGAGTGTAGTGTTACACTTCAGAAACGCTTAAGTCCTTGAGATATTTCCAACAAATGTCATCTCACTTGGCAATGCCATCTCACTTGGCAATGCCAAGCAAGGTGAAAAAAAACGCCGTAAAAAAAAAAAAAAAAAAAAAAATCCGATACTGTACAATACCGAATGGTTCCACCGTTTTAAACGTAAAAAACGGTTCCAAGTACATTTTACATGTTGGTGCAAACAAACTGTCGTTCATTTCGACCGTTTTTTTCACATAGGTGTACACAAGTAAAGTTCAATACTCCTTATCGAACTTTGCGAGTTGGGTGTACACCCAACCTCGGCGAAATTCGCGGCTCGGGAATTCCCGGACCGCGCATTTTGACTAATCTCGAGCTGCGCGACCAACATTTTTCGCCGCGGCCGTTGCGAAATCCAAAACCGTTTCGTCGCGAACGGCTCTGGATTTTGCAACGGCAAGAAAAGTGTGGCGAAATTTTATAGTTCGCGACGCGCGAACTAAACAAACCAACCAGAATCCCCTCATGAGGAAGTCCAACCCAATTCGACCCAGCCACAAACGCCCCACGCCCCATGCCCTACGCCCCACACCCCACTCCCTCCATAAATGGCTTTCTGGATTTAACACAGGAAAGCGCAAGAAGAAGAAAAAAAACCAAAAGCACTAGGTAAGCTCACTAGCTAGTAGGATTGGTGGTAGGAGGATCAATAGGAGTGGGAGGAGGAGGAGGAGGATGATTTCCTATCCTACCTCAATGTTGTGCGTTGTCGCGTGTAGGGAAGATGCCTAGGCCCTCCATGGGTGTTGTTGTGTTGTTTTTTTGCACGGAAAATAATATATCATTTTTTCCAGACTTGAGCACATTAAAAAAACGGCATTTTTTTCCAAAGTGACAGAAAAAAACGGCCTTCTTTTTCGGACCGTATTTTACCGCAACCAAAATTTTGCACCTTGATGCCATCTCACTTCACAATGACCTCTCACTTGGCAATGCCATCTCACTTGGCAATGCCATCTCACTTGGCAATGCCATCTCACTTGGCAATGACATCTCACTTGGCAATGACCTCTCACTTGGCAATGCCATCTCACATGGCAATGCCATCTCACTTGGCAATGCCATCTCACTTGGCAATGCCATCTGTCTAACCTGGCCGTGCAATCGCACCTGGCGCCGACAGTGATGTAGAAGGGCGAGAAGTTGTCGATGGAGCGGTACATCGAGAAGCTGAATCTCTTTGGCCCGCCCGAGTTCCCCGCTGCAAACGCCACCACCATGCCAGCCTGGGCCGCACAGAGTGACAAGGAGAGCAGTGCAAGGCAACATGGGCCATCAGCAAAGCGGGCTCATACACGCTGATTCCAGAAGAATTGGACCATCAATTGATTCCCGCTCTTTCCACTTCCGCCTCCCACTCCCGCTCTCACCCCCACTCCCCTCCACCCTCTCCCCCCCCCTCCCTCCCCCCTTCCCCTCCCCCCTCCCCACCTTCCTTCCCACTCACAGCATTGGCATTCAGAAATGCGACATCCCCAAAGTAGGTGTCGGCAGGGTTCGCCCCGCCCAGGCTGAGCGAGAGCACGTCGACGCCGTCAGCCACAGCGTAGTCGACAGCGGCGAGAATGTCGGCGTCCGTGGCATACGTGCCGTAGCTGTCGGTCCAGAACACCTTGTATATGGCCAGCCGCGCTGCTGGTGCCATGCCGCTCGTGTCGCCCGTCGACCAGCTCGCCTTCACACCCGCTGCTGCTCTGAGCGCGTGCACGGGCGGGGGGGGGAGAAGGGAGCAAGCGGGATAGGAGGAGGAGACGGGAGTGAGAGAGAGAGAGAGAGAGAGAGAGTGAGAGATACAGAGCGAGACTGGAACTTGCATAGCTGTGCGGGTGCAGCTCACCCTTTAAAAGGGGGTCAGAAAGGCTCATCAGCTTTCTTCGTCTACCACGCCCCCCTCGCCCACCGTGCACCACGTGCCGTGGCAGGCACTCACCCAGCGCACCACGTGCCGTGGCCGTCCGAGTCGCGGGGCGAGTTGTAGTCATAGGAGAAGTCGGGCCCGCTGGAGCTCTCCTGCTGGAAGCCGCTGTAGAGCTTGCGTGCGCCGATCACCTTGCCTGTGCAGCTGAAGTCCGACGACGTCTCGCACGTCCCCTGCCACGTCGATGGCGTGCCGCTCAACCCCTGGGGGAGCAACGGGGGCGCGGCGGTTGGTTGGGGTTACACGGCAACGGAACGGGGAGGGAAGAAGGGGGAGGGGTGTGATGTGGGGAGCGCTAGAGCGGATGCTTCTGCTGGCGCTCATCAGAACTGGCGAATGGCTGAATGGAGACGGAAGGGAGGTGGCCAGAGTGGGACGCGAAGGGGTGGTTGTGGATTGAGGGTGCAAGCATGTGGGAGGGGGGGGGATGTGGGGGGAAGCGGGGGAGGGATGGGGTGGGTTGCCCTTGTGTGCGTAAGGAGAGGTAGATGCATGTGTGTGGTGGGGGGGAGGTTGGAAAGGAAGAAGGGAGGAGGTGAGAAAGGGAAGAGGGGAGGATGGCGGTGGTGAGAGGCAACCAAAAGGCACCCACCGTGTCATCGAAGCACTGGTTCTCAGGCCAGATGCCCGTGTCCACCACCCCCACCACCACGTCCGCCCCGGCACTGCTCTGCCCGCCCGCTTCCTGCCACAACGAGTCCGGCAAGCCCAGGAAAGTGGGCGAGTCGAACGTGTACTTGCGCACAATGCGGCTCCTCCTCACGCCCGCCACCGCGGGGTGCCGCTTCAACCGCCACAGCTGCAGCGGCGTGAGGGCGGCGGCGAAGCCGTGCGAGACGGTTTGGAACTGGTGCGCGATGGATGTGACGGCCAGGCCGATGTCCGCTGCCACCTGCCGCTGCTGCCGCTGCAGCGTCTGCTTGAACGCCTGCACGTGCGGCGCCTTCAAGTTCAGCCGCGGCCGTCTGAAGCGGGCACCCTTGGGGGTTGAGGTGGACGGATGAGAGGACGCGGACGACGAGAACAGCTGCCGTCCATTTCCTGCCGGTGCTTCTGCCGGGGCTGCTGCGCCACTACCCGCTGCCACTGATGCCCCAACAGAGGTGCTGTTATCTGTACTTCCTGTGCCCGCACCCACACCTGTCCCCGTCCCTGCCCCTGTCCCCTCCCCTGCACCTGCCCCCCCATCCGTCCCATTAACGGGCGGCCACCCCCACAAGTCCCCCGTGTGCCCTCCCACCAGCCCGTCAGGCGCGGGCGGCAGTTCCGCCTCGGGCGCATCTTCGGGGAAGGCGCTATCGAGGTCGGGCCCCTCGTCTCTGGGCGCGGTGGCGGGGTACCCGGGGATCTGCCCGCGGTACGTCGCCAGGGGGAGGCCCGTCCGCAGCTCCACGATGTAGAGCTTCGCCTTGGCGCTACCTGCGGGGAGGGGAGAGAGGGGGAGGGGGTGGGGGGAACGGGGGAAAAGTGATGGGTGGGGAGGAGGGGAAAGAGGGGTAGGTTGGGTTTAGTGAATCATCTGCAAGCAGGCGACTGCGACTGCGACTGCGACTGCGACTGCGGCTGCGACTGCGACTGCGACTCAACTCAGTCGCCTCCGCGACTGCGGGCCTTCGGAGAGGAATGGAGCTGCGGCGTAAGAAATCCAAGTTCTGTTGCGTTTCTTGACTGGTCGGGAAGCGCACACGGCACCGTGACGATGCGACGAGGTGTGGCGCAAGGGAGGCGTGAGAGAACAAGGGGAGTACCAGCGAGGCGGGCCCCCTGTGTTGATGGCGGAACGCGAATCTGGGGAATGCAGGCTGGGCGGTGCTGTTGCAAGTGCACGCCGTCGCACGGAAAGGAGAAGCAGCAGCAGGAAGGGTCGTAGTAGGAGGGGAGTGCATCAGCGGGTTCGGCGCGCGCTTGGAACACGCAGCGAGGGGAAGGCCGCGCTCACCTGGTAGCGAGAGGCCGTGGCTAGCGGTCGCCAGAACAAGAAGCAGCGCCACGACGCCGGTTGTGCTGAACGTCGCCATGAGAGGATTTGAACTCTCTGCGGCGGGTGAGAGATGTCGGAGCTGTCAGAGCTGTCAGAGCGGTCAGAGCGGTCAGAGCTGTCGGAGCTGTCAGAGCTGTCAGAGTTGTCAGACCTGTCAGAGCTGTCGCGGTGCAGCTGGGGAGTTGGTCCTACCGGCCGCTTCAACGGGGAAATATACAGATAGGGTGCTCGTATCGAAGGTGCTAATAGGCGCGTAATGCAGCCGAGTATGAAGGAGATTCGGTATGCTGTGTCACTATTGGTGACGGAACGACTTTTCACCAATCGCGTTGAGTGTCGACCAAGAACGTCTTCGAGTTGTTGACTAGGTTACCGTTGCGAGGAGTGAATCGCGCGACGTTCAAGATGCGAGGTGAGAAAGGTTGACGTTCAAGGTCACAGATGGCCTCGCCAAGAGAGCGCGAGCTGCGCTCTTCAGGCTGACGAGCGGCCGCTTATCCCTAGGTCACGGGCTCGGTCTGGCACCTGGCAAGATTCTGGATAGCAATGACGTGTAAGACTACTAGAGGCTGTAGCAATGACAAGTGGGCTTACTTTTGCTGCACAGAAACGAGTGGGGCTCATGTTTGAGAGTAAGGAACCATTCGAGAAGTCTTGTAAACTCGGGGGCTTGGATTGGAAGTTTGAGTCCATCCAGAACATCAAGCGCGTGTCGCTGCCAACAAGCCCCAGAAGGGACAAACTGTATAACCAGTGGGCTTGCTCATACAGACCAACCGCGCAATTTACGTCCACGAAATCATTTGACTTGAATTGGGTTGGGTTGGACATGGACGGATGGACAAGGTATGTGTAGGAACAACTGCTTGCGAGTTCATCCCGATTTTCTGGCAGTGGATACCAACCTTCGTCTGGATATATAATCAAGAACAAGCAGTAGTTTTACTCCGACTGGAAAATTGCATACTGAGAACCGCGTTTGGTTTTTCTTTCAAAACTAGCCAAGATGCTGCATCAGTGGACTTTCAACCACTAAACATTAGTGTAGGGAGTTGGCCGAGGCTCAATAACCTTTTGTGGGAGTACGTTGCCCGTGCCTACGCAGCAACACGGCTTGTGCAGGAACCAATGAACGAACGCCTCTATCGCCTCTAGTGCTCGGCAGGCATCGAGATTGTGGAGGGTTCGCTTCGCTTTCTTGAGCTCTTTCTCCCTCGCCAACCAACCTGGGCAAAATACCCGGCCACTCTGAAACTGGCGTGTTGTAATGTACAGTTCAGCACAACATTTTGCGGCACATCAAAATCGGGCATCTACGCATCATGGTTCGCCTCTATTTTCCCATGAGGGCAAATTCCTAGCAAGTGTCAGGTTTCTTGACATGAAGTTTTGACGCCAAGGATATGCACACATCAGCACAGCCACTGACGTGTGCTGATCCGGCCAGTCGAATTCCTGACCCGAAGTGAGCTGACACCTGCTAGTAATGACACAGGGCAAAATCCTACACTTTTTGTTATCGAAGCGCTACAGCGATGCGGATGTGATCCAAAGCCCATGATTCGCCCTCTGGCCTAGAACTTACCTGCTGATGACGTGTCGAGCGCGGCTGCCTTTTCCACCACAGCATCTGTAATGAAGCGCTTCGGGTTTCGGCTCCGTCAGGTAAGACCTAAACGAGTGCAACTGTATACCCTTCGTTCTTATCACCGAATCCAACCACCGACACGGGCAAGACGTGCTCAATCAACATGTTCATCAACTTCCTCTGTAGAACGAACAGCATATAGAGTCGTCATGTTACAAGTTGGAAGGAAATCACTTTTCCTTATCCCATGTTTCACTTCTAATAGCGTACACCGCTAAAGTGGGGTTCCCATGCTATGCATCCTGGTACATCCGAGCCGTGTTACCCGGATGTCGCCATCACAGAGGAACATACAATTTCGTGCACTTTGCACATTCGTGTGCTCATCGGATGCGATTTGAGCCCATTTACATGCCATAGGATTCCATCTCTACCCAGCTTGCGTGTTTGCTTCGTGCACAACTATATATTTAGTGCAGGATCTCTTTCGATGTTGCCATCATGTAATAATTCTCAGCGTTGAGGTTCATACATATGTTAGCAACATATATTTATAGCCTAGCCATATTCCGGTACTCTCTCATCCCTTAAGTCAATTTTTCTCTCAACATGGTATCAGAACTAGGTTTCGCTCATACCCGTCACGCATCCGCCGTAGGAGCTACCCGTTCCCCTCCCACCATTACTTACCTCCTTAGCCTTAGTTAGGGTTTAGACTGTCGCTCTAGCCAACGTCCTAGCCTATGCTCTAGTCCTAGGCTGCTGCCCTGCCTTCGCACTGCCCACATTTTGCAGCCAGCAGAGCGCTCGTTTCTGCCAGCTTGCCGCAAGCTAGCTATCGTCAGCAGCTTGTTCGCAGCTCGCCGCCGACAACTTGCCCCCAGCTCGCTCGCCGCCAACAGTGCGCTGCAAGCTCGCCGTTAGCAGTAGTCGCCCGCTCGCCACCAGCTCCCTAGCAGCCAGTCGCCAGCTCGCCAACAGCTCGCTGCCACCAGCCGCCCGCTCGCCGCCCGCTCGCTAGCAGCCAGTCGCCAACTTGCTGCCAGCTCGATGCCGCCAGCCACCAGGTCACTGCCGCCAGCTCGCCGCAAGCTCGCTGCTGCCTGCACCCAGACGTTCACCATTCCTGTCTTGCCGCAGCAGAATGAGGTCGCTGAGCATCGCATCGGCTTGGTCATAGAGGATGCCCGTACCTCCAAGGCCCATGCCGGTGCCCCCCAATTTTCTGTGGCCATTCGCGGTGCGCTGCGCGGCTCACCAGCTTAACATATGGTCTCTCTCCTCGCAATCACAGGCTTTGCCGATCCTCCTCTGGAAGAGGTCTCCCCGTGACGCGTCGGTGTTCCACGTCTGGGGCTGCCTGACTCACATCCGCGCCCCCGGTGCGAATAAGCTCTCATCCCGTATTGCCCCATGTGTCTTCCTTGGGTTCCCGCTCGACGCTCCTGTCTGGCTGCTCTACCACCCTGGACAACACTGCTTCTTTCACTCTCGTGATCTTACGTTTGAGAGTCCGTCTCCTTCTACGCCTGCTTTCCTTACAGTGGCGGTTGTGCTCCTCCTCCGCCTCTCTTCCTTGCCCTTCCTCCACTTGCTGCTCCCCTCCCACCCTGCCCGACCCCGTTTGGTGTCTCCCGCGCCACTCCCCTCCCTTCGGTTGGGCTTGTGAGAGAGTCTGCTGACTGTGGAGGCCACTGGCACAGCGCCCCTAAATCCAGCCCCGGTGCCCCAGGCACCTTAGTAGCCTCCCCCACAGTAGTAGCAGCAGCAACCGCAACAGCAGTGGCCGCAGTAGCAGCCACAGCAGCAACAGCGGCGGGAGGCTGTGGCCTCTGGGGGTGCTGGTTCTGAGGGTGCTGACTCTGGGGATGCTAGTTCTAGGGGTGCTAGCTAAGAGAAAACTGGCGGTGGTGGGGCTGGGGGTCCTTGCGTGGATCGTGAACAACATCAGCAGCAGCATCAGCCGCAGTTCGCCCTTCGTCTCCTTGGCCTTTCCTCCAGTTCCCCTGATCGAGTGCTCATGTCTCCTACTGTTCCTCCTGTCCTACTGCTTGACCCTGTCTACGACACGCTTTTCCTTCCTTCGGACTCCTCTCCGGCTCGTCTCCCCCCCGGAATCTTCCCTGGCCCTCGCTCTCCTCCGTCCCTTGTCCTGTCCCCCGTTCCCCCCCGTCCCAGTCCCCCGTCCTTCCCCACTAGGTCTGTCGTCCCCCTGGTGGTCGTCCTATCTATCCTTTGTCCTCGTGCTCCTCAAATTCCCGTCATGTCGTTCCCTTCCCAGTCGTCACTCCTGATGTGTCCTACTCCTCTCTCAGACAATGCTCGCACTACTCGTCCTGTCATCTCTCGCTTATAGTACTTGTTTCACATATCCTTGACCCTACTGCTCCTCCTGAGGGTGTTTTTGCCTTTGTCGCTGCTGTCGCTGACTTTGCCGCGTACCACGGCCTCGACTATGCCTCCAATCTGGTGTCTAACCCTGCGTGTCCTCCATCCGTCGGGGGTGCACCAACCCTTGGCAGTGACGTTCTAGAGGATAGGCAGTACGAGCTAGCCTTCCTTGCGGCTACTGTACCTCATCTCCACGCCATGCTTGTGTCCCTTGAGGGTGAACCGGACGTCCCCAACATCTGTATCCCGCGCTCCTACGCTGAGGCGGTTTCGGGTGCCTGGGCAGCCCAGTGGATACAGGTCCTCGAGGCAAAGATGGCATCTTATAGATCCTCTAGCACTTACGTCGACGCGGTTCCTCCGCCTAGAGCATACATAGTCAATGGCATGTGGATCTAGAAGGTGAAGCATCCGCCTGGAGAGCCGCCTGTGTTCAAGGCGTTGTATGTCGCTAGGGATTTTAGTCAGCAAGAGGGTGTGGAATTCTTCAAGAAATTCTCCCCTACCCCGAAGAAGACTACTCTTCGGGTGCTCTTCCATGTAGCTGCACAGCATGACTACGAGCTTCACTCCGTAGACTTCTCGACAGCCTTCCAGCAGGGCAGCCTTCACGGGCAGCCTTTATGTGGTGCCGTTTAGGATTCACTGGGTTCTTCCCACCTCGGACCCACTGGAGCCTGCGCCTCCCTGCCTACGATCTGCTTCAGGCGCCCCGTGAGTGGCACAACATGCTATGCAATACACTCGCGACTCTTCAGTTCTTCCTGTCCTCTACTGACCCCTCGCTCTTTGTTTGTGCTTCTCACAATCTGTTCTACATACTTGTGTTCATACTGTAGACGATCTCATACTTTGCTACTCCCGACAGAGTCGCACTAGCCTCGGTGAAGGCCGAGGTGCTCAGGCGTCATGCTTGTACAGACCTAGCAGAGTTGTGCTGCTATCTGGGCTTGGAGATGTCTCGTGACCGTGCCGCGTGCACGATCACACTCTCCCAGTCCAATATGGTGCAGCAGATCTTCTATCGGTTCGGCCTTCAATTCTCGTCAGCATAGCCCATCCCTCTGCCTGAGGACCACAGGCTCTAAACTCCTATTTTCGCTGAGTAGGTCGAGCCTAGTGGTCCATACGCAGAGTTGCTGGGGTTCCTTATGTGCCTAATGATGTGCACTCGACCAAATCTAGCGTACCCTCTTACTGTAGTATCCTTTTTCAACCTCTGAAGTAGCGGAAATACATTATATGTTTGCCTTTTTTCAACCTCATAGGGCTCGTTTTTTTGGAGGCCCTACTGGCCGCCATGCGCACCGACTGTGACATTGTGCAATGATGATGCGATGCAAGAATGGAGACATGACCTGACACAGCATCTGAGGGTTATGCAAATATTGGTGAACAAAGGCAAATAGATACTGTATCCACCCGGATAGAGGACCCGCCATAGGATTGGACCCTGGGTTTAGTAATAGAAAAAGGGGCTTATACCCAAAACTCGATTTTATGCCCCGGTTGAAGTTCAGCGACCCTCGTTTATAGCAAATATTGAATTTCGCCAAGGACTTGAAATCACGACCAGAATTTGTCTGAAAATCGTGGTATTAGATTTTTGTATAGGCCCCGGGGCTAGGATTTAAACATTCAATTATAGGCCCCACAAGAAAAACATCTTTTCGCCATACGTGCCTGTGGGGGCGCCTATCTGGGAGAGTACGGGTACACCTTTCGCAGAGGCGTGCAATTTTTTTTTTTTTACCAGGAAGTTTGAAGTCTGAATGCATGCCCTGTTTCGACCTAAGTGGCCTAGGAATGCCAACCGTATGTGCGCGGCTGTTTATGATGAATGACATTTCCGACATGCATCTTGTCACTGACAACAATATGTTGTGATGGTGTTGCGTGGGCCTGCCATGGACTGGCGGCACGTGGTGCTGACTTCACTTGAGGAAGCAAATGTACCGCAGCGTGTAAGGGGAGCTCCGAACTACAAACTAATGGGCGGACAATTTTTGCAAGGCGAGCCAATGCACTACCTTTTTGGCATAGAGCATCGACAATCTAAAGCGGTGGTATTGTTGGAGTGGTTCCGCCACCCACGACAGACTACTCGTGACTTGGGGCGATGGAAGGAGAAGCGCGGACTAGGGAGGAGAATGAGTTAGGAAAGGAGGAGTTTGCGTGAGCGTGTGACTTCAGGAAAAATGGGAAGCGAGAGAGAAGCAAGAGAGAGGGTTGGAGGAAAGAGTGATTGGGCAGAAGAAAGGAAAGGAAGTGGCGAGAAACAAGGTGACGTGGGGCAAAAGTTGGGTTTCGGACGGGGCGTGTTCAACAAGCATTTGGACTTCGGAACAGCGGCGTGTTCAGCAAAAAAATCGCGGTTGCGTGTGCGACTCGGATTGACACGAGGCGTGCGAGTTACTTGCAGCGCACACGGCAGTTACGAAGTGCGAAATCGCTTGAACTTCCACTATAAATACGTTCGAACATTTGTGCTTTGTATCTCATTGTTTCTAGAAACAATTTCCACTAGAAACAGCAATTTCCACTAGAAACAATTTCCACAATTTACATTTGTGCTTTGTATCTCATTGTTTCTTAGTGCTTTAATGGCAGCAATTACAGTATGTGGCGCTTAAAGTTCATAAGGTGGGCGAAGGAGGTAGGATTATGGCAATTCTACCATCGGGTTGAGAAGGCCGAACGAGCAGCAACTACAAGCAACCAAGAGGAGGATTCGACATATCAAAAAAGGAGTGAGCAAGCATTCTTTCAGTTGTGCCATTCTGTTTCTGATGGAATTGCTGTGGGCCTGGATAAGTTTTCAGGCAAGAAAAATCCAGCTCAAGTGGCGTGGGCATACCGTACATGGAGATGAACATCACTGAAGTGAGGAGGAAGCTGCTGCTGCTGAGCATGGAGCTGAAGGAAGCCGTCATCGAGTACATCAATCGAGCTAAGAGCTACAACGACGACTTGGCTGCAACGGGAAATGAGGAGAACGAAAAGGTGATAATGGGATACATTGTCAACGGGCTCTCCAAGGAGTGGGCAGCAGATCGACCTGCGTTGATTTGCAATCCACCTGCAAATATGACGAAACTTCTGGAGATGCTGCAAGCCTTGGGGATATCCAAGGAGGATGTGACACGACGGGAGAAAGCGGCCCAAGGAGAGAATGGGGCTGCGGGTGTAGAGCAGGAGAAGCCTGCAATGGTGAATGCAGTAGCTGCAGAAAGAGGCATGGGTGCATGCTTCCACCGTGGCAAGATTGGGCATAAGGCATTTGACTGCTATGATAACCCGAGAAGCCGCAACTACAAGGGGAAAAGTGCTGCTGGTATGGGATGGAGTGGAGAGCAGCAGAGTGGGGAAGGGGGTAGCAGAGGAGATAGAGGAGATTGTAGGCACCAGAAGGGAAAGTTATTTGGAGCTTGCCACCAATGCAAGAAGATAGGGCATAGAGCGATGAATTGCTGCTCAAACCCCAATGGCCGAAGTTATAGGGGAACACAGCAGCAACGTTCGGCACCGGCAAAGGCACATTCAGCTGAAGCAGAAAAGGGGGCAGCCGACGTTATTTTGGGTGGTGCATCAGGAGTGTGCCTGATGGAAAAAGGGGGCGGAGAAGCTGCATGGTATATGGACAGTGGGTGCACTCAGCACATGACCAATCATAGTGAGTGGCTGAATGATTTGAGGGCGTCAAGTGTGCCGTATGTGCTTGTGGGAGATGACCGGAAATTGCTTGTGAAGGGAGAGGGAGATCTGATTTTGCAAGGGCAGTATGGGGAATTGAAACTGGAAAATGTGCTGCTGGTTGATGGTCTGTCACTGAATTTGATCTGTCAGTCACAGCTTGACAACACTGGATGTAAGACATTCAGTAACAAGGGCAGCGTGTGGATGTTTGACCATGCATAGAATGTGGTTGCTAAGGGGATGCTGAAGAATGGGTTGTATGAGATGTTGTTGAATGAGAAGGGCATGAGGGCTGAGAAGGTTACCTACCAGCAGCCGACGGAGGAAGGGGTGCTGGCAAGGGAGGAGCTGCGGGCCAGCTTGAAAAGTGTACCTGTAGAGGAGCTGCAGAAGGAAACGGTATCGATGGTGGCAGCAGTGGCAAGGGTAGACATGGGGACCCTGCATAGGAGGTTAGGACATGGCAGTCGGAGTGAACTGAAGGATGGGGATGGGAGCAAGGGGAAGTGTGACAAGTGCGTGGAGGGAAAATTCACCAAATCCCCCCATCCCAAGCATCAGGTACATGAGCCGCATTGAGCGCTGGAGATAGTAGCAGCTGATGTGTGTGGACCGCTGAGGGTGGCATCCATATATGGGAGCAAATACTCTGTCACCTTTATAAAACTAGGGACTAGGCACACGTGGGTAACTGAGATTAAGGATAAGACTGAGGTCTTCTCTAGTTTCTGGACTGGATGGTGGAAGCAGAAAGGCAGAGTGGGAAGCAGCTGAAGGTGCTGAGTACTAACAATGGTGGGGAGTTTGTCAATGAGAAGTTCAACAGCTACCTGCGTTCCAAGGGGATTTTAAGGTAGTTGATAGTGCCTTACACTCCACAGCACAACAGCATAGCGAAGAGGGTGACTAGGTCAGTGTTGGACTGTATAAGGACATTGCTGGCGGACAGCGGATTAACACTGAAATTCTAGGGAGATGCCTTGGGGATGGCTTGTTGGGTCAATAATAGACTACCTACCAAGGGCTTGGCAGCAGATATGACCCCACATGAAGCATTCTATGGGAGGAAGCCGGATATGGGGTTGGCTCGCGTGTGGGGCTGCATGGTGCAGTACAGGGAGCCAGCTGGACCAACCCATAAGCTACTACCTAGAAGTAAGTGGGGGCTCAACCTTGGGATGTGCATGGTGAGCAAGGGATGGGTGATCAAGGATGTGGAGATGGGGAAGGTGGTGGTGACCAGAGATGTGATATTCTATGAGAATGTCACATACTTGAAGTGGAAAGGGGTGAGTTTGGATATTGCAACGGCAGGGGAAGCAGCTAACCTAGAGAAGGTGGTAGGGCTGCAGGAGGAGACATCGATTGAAGGGATTGGAGATGAAGTAGAGGAGATTGGAGAAGAAGCAGCGCATACTTGGGTGTGGGAGCTTCCAGAGAAAATGGCTGCACAGGGAGATGGAGAAGGTAGGGCAGCAGGAGATAGAGCCACAGGAGAAGGATGCAACGACCGAGGTGGAGATGGCACCACAGGAGAGTGAGCAGGGATCAAATGCACGAGATGATCACGATCCATGGAAGCTAATAGATAGTGCAGACAGCCGTGAAGCAGAGAAGGATTTTCAGGAACTACAGGAGGACGGGACAACAGCAATAGGGGTACTAGGACGGGACGAGCAAGAGGCAGCTGAGAAGGAGGGTAGTGAGGTGGTGTCATCTGCTGGGGAGTTGGGCCGAGGGAAAAGGGTGAAGACGGCAAACCCTAAGTATGCGCAGCTGCTCATAACTCCTTGGAAGAATGTGCTTACCCACCTCCTCCTTGCAGCATCAGCAACCGCACTTGTGACACGAGCAAGGAGGGAGGCATATGGGTTGCCTCATGAACCAGTGACAGTGGAGGATGCTTTGACAGGACCACATGAGCAGTGGAGAGCTGCAATTCAGGAGGAGCTGGCTACACTAGCAGAGAGGGGCACTTGGGAGTTAGTGCCTATGCCTGACACAAGAAATGATGTCGGGGTGAAATGGGTCTTCAAGATTAAGACAGGAGACATGGGGCAGCTAGAGCAGTTTAAGGCTAGGCTAGTGGTGAAGGGCTACACACAGGTAGAGGTGATAGACTACACCGACGCATATGCTCCTGTGAGCAAATTGATGATTGCATGGGCGTCCCTCAAGGTGATAGCAGCAAGGGATTACTTTCAAGTACAGCTGGGCATCAAGAACACGTTTTTGCATGGGGTGGTTAAGAAAGAGCTGCATATGGAGCAACCACAAGGGTTTGAGGATGGCACTAACAGGAAGTGCAAACTTATTAAGGCACTATACGGACTGAAGGAGAGTCCCAGGGAGTGGTACAAGGCGATAGATGAGAGGCTACCGAAAAGGGGGATTTCAGAAGAGTGAGTGTGACAGGGCATTCTACTGGAGGGGAGCTGGAAAGGAGAAGGTGTACCTACTGCTCTACGTGGATGATGTCCTCGTGGCAAGGGCACTTCCAGGGGAGGTAGAAAAGGTGTGTGAGCACCTAGCTGAAGTGTTCCAAGCGAAGCAGATTCCGAGGACGACGCAGTTTCTGGGGATGAATCAGGAGAGGGACAGGGAAGAGAGGAATTTGTTCTTATAATAACAGAAACAATTGTCCGGATGTTTTGCATTAATTAGGGTTTTTGAGCTTTACGACAAGTGTACATAAAGTCTTAATATTTAATGGTGGTACACTTTGGGAGGGGCACATAGTGGATGTGTTCACAGTGCTAAATTCCATAATAGAGTACTGGATCTAACTTAGTGCCAAAAGATATAGAAAGAGTACATCCGGACAATTATTTCCCAGGACAAAGCGCAAACTTCCGAGCAGCGCTTCTAGTACCTAGTCCACAAAAACTTGGCCACGATAACCACCTGCACCCTCCTAGGCATGTTATCTACGAGGTTAGTGCAAACCTTTACAGGGATCTTCTCGCACTCGTTCTGGACCCACCCTTTTGCATAAGGGGGTGAGCACTAGGAAAATCGCGAAGTATTTGAACGTATGCAAGAGTATTGTGCACGATTTCAGATTGAATGTTATCTCTGAGACTAGCCACGCTGAAGTGTGGCCAAAGATATCATAAGTCGATTAGTCCCATCTTATAATGAATCGTCTTCGTCGTATCGTTGTAGGGTAAAATTACGAGCAGAGTCGCGAAAACTAGCGTGTCCACCACGAAACTTAGGGTAACATAGCACGGTCGACTGGGATATGTGTTCTTACTCGGAGGGACAGCTGTTATAATCACAATAGGCTCAGATGTGCCTAAAATGAGAGAAATTGTGCACAGTCAGAATTCCGTCAGACAGCTTTAAATATTGATGCCGATATGATGTGTGCCTCAAACGGTGATCTGTAAATTGAATCTGGAGCGCGTTGCTGTCGCCTATCAGCAGCAAGTTGAATCATAAAATTCCATGAAGATTTGACGACGCTATGGCGGTTTGACTGGCAGGAGGTATAGCAACCACTATAGTCTTGGAAGTACAAACTTAGCAAGAAGAATTCGAGATAGAGATGGTTCCCAGCCTCTATATACCCCAAGAGTCGAGGTCCAGGTTGGTGGTACACCACCACAGAGTCCCCAACCATGAAGAGTCTCGAAACAAACCCTCCAAGGGGCTACACCAAGTGAAATGTAACACTAAACGAAGTAGCGTTACTATTTTCACTATTTAATATTTATCTGTGTCCATTGGGCTTGAAATCTTGAGCTCTTGGTCTCGGTTCAGCAAGATAAATTCTTCTTGAGTTGTTGGAGGCTTTCTACACACACCTGCGACACGATGGACGCTTCACACTCGACAAAATAGAAAAAACACATGCGACACGCAAACGACGACTTGACATGCGAGTTGTGAAAACTCGCTAATGTCTTGACCGACACAAACCACATTGTGATACACCATTCAAACACACACACAAACACTGGATAGCAATGAAATAGACTCACAATTCATTCCATGCCATGCATGCACACAAACAAACAAGGACGACAAGCCGAGTGCAAGCCATAGGGTTGCACCAACAACAGCTATCATATGGCAGGCCAAGAAACTAGCAGACATAGCACTCCAAGTGCTGAAGCGGAGTACATGGCATTGTTTTTTGCGTGCCAAGAGGGAGTGTGGTTAAGGAGGTTGCTCAAGGAGTTGAGATAGACGTAAAGGGGCCTACAGTGGTAAGGACGGAGAGCAAGTCAGCTATGGACTTAGCGAAGAACGACAACTGGCATGGGAGGGCTAAGCACATGGATGTGAAATATCACTGGGTGAGGGAGCAGTTAGAGAAACAGCAGTTCAAGTTCGAGTTTGTGCGCACCGAGGAGCAGGCAGCTGATTTCTTAACCAAGGTGATGCCAAGGGCCAACTTTGAGCACTGCAAGGAGAAGGTCGGGATACGTACCTTGAAGGACACGCACGAGAGTGTAAAGGTGACTTAGAGGGTGTGGTTGGCAGAACCACAGGGGAGGTTGTTGGAGTGGTTCCACCACCCACGACGGACTACTTGTGACTTGGGGCAATGGAAGGAGAAGCACGAAATAGGGAGGAGAAGGAGTTAGGAAAGGAGGAGATTGCGTGAGCATGTGACATACAGAAAAATGGGAAGTGAGAGAGAAGCAAGAGAGAAGGTTGGGGGAAAGAGTGATAGGGTGGAAGAAAGGAAAGGATGTGGCGAGAAACAAGGTGACGTGGGGCAAAAGTTGGGTTTCGGACGGGGCGTGTTCAACAAGCATTCGGACTTCGGAACAGCGGCGTGTTCAGCAAAAAGTCACGGTTGCGTGTGCGACTTGGATTGACACGAGGCGTGCGAGTTACTCGCAGCGCACACAGCAGTTACGAAGCACGAAATCGCTTGTACTTCCACTAGAAATCTGTTTGAACATTTGTGCTTTGTATCTCATTGTTTCTAATGGAAATTGCTGTCATTTCGTATTGACAATTAGCAGCTACTTTGAGATCACTTTTGGAGGCAAGGCCCTTGAGGCTATTTGCAAGAGTATTTCCTAATACTTTTCGCTGCGCCGGAGGCGATGGTCGCCTAGAGGTATGAAGCCTGGAACCGCCAGCTTTACCACGCAGCAGAACTTTCCATATGGCGCCAACTCGGATCAGTCCAAGACTGCAACAGCGGCTTCATCAGCTTATGCGAGCAAGTTGGTATAATTCAACTAGAGGACAAAATAGACAGGTACTGTACTCTATGTTTCATGGATGTGCACTGATATTTGCAAAATTCAACTACTTGGCATCACGAGCTTTGTCAAAATGGCTCGCGTCACAGGGGTGCAACGGGATTGGCTGAGCAAGCCATGGTAGCAGGATTGGTTAAGCAAACCCTAACCCATGGTTCCTGTGAGGGACAACACACAAGGGGATTGGCATACCAATATTGTAATCCCCTGGATATACAGTACGCAGGATCGGCATAACGAAATTGTAATCCCCTGGATATACAGTACGCACCCCTAGGTTAGTTAAACCTATGGGATTTATAGCTGCAAGTTGGACTTGTATCCATAGTTTAAATAAAAGCCCCCCCTAGTTTTTTGGGGAAGCAAAGGGCATGAGCATTCATTGGCAATTTCGTATGCGATGACATGTATCTCACTGGACAGTAGACTTCTAGAGGATTGCCAAGGTTTCGCTCCCCTCCTCTCTCACACAAACCTCCCACTACAGTAGCCTCGCTAGCCAACAGTGCACACTCCGCACTTACTTTCCTGCTAGAACTTGTCAAAATCTTGCCTCTGATTGGCCAGATACAAATTGGCACTGCTGGCCGAACGAATCCGTGACTCGCAATTTTAGGCAAGTCCTCCCGAACTTCCCCCTTTGCGGAAATTTGCACATTTCGAAAATAATGCAAAAGCTACATCTTGATGTGACATATAAAGGATTTCTGTAGAAAAAAAAAACCATGTATGATTAGTATTTCTATTTTGATAAACGCCCACCCACAAGTTTAGAGGTAAACCCTAAAGGCCCCTAGAGGCGTATATTCGGCAAATTATGGTAGCTTGCCACTGTACGTATCATGTGTTACATGATCAAACTATGTCTTTCAATGTTGGACTATGGATCATTACAAGGCGCTTTTATATGTCTAAGGTACATCACGAAGCCAAGTTTATCCTATTCAAAGAATAGGCCCTTCTAAAAATATCACTACGCTTCGTATAACCACACGCAGCCATTGGATTGAAGTGACTAGGGTAGGATTGCGGTAGATGTAGTATGCCCATAAATCCTGAAGCCTGGTCCATGAAATAAATATTATAAACGAGAAGACAAAGGAGAATGAAGAATGAAGAATATGAAACCAAATTAGATGAGATAAAATCCAAAATGATCAAGCGAAAATGAGGAATAATACAAACAAAGCATATATAAATTAAAATGAGGTATAATGGGGTCATACTATCACACTTCCCCCTTTTACAGCTGGATGAACAAAGGAACACCCTGCTTGACAAGGTAGTCGCAAAGCGGACGATTGACATTAGCCATGTTGGATTCAAAGACCCACCTTACCTCAAAATAATCATAATCCTTCTAGTGGATGAGAATCTCTAGACAGCATTGTGCAAGCACAAACTCAACCTCATATTCAAGTTCATTATTGATGAGGAAGTGCGGTTGGCATCTGGTTTAGAGCTTGTTTAGATTGTAGTAGGGCTTGAGAAGCTGGACATAGAAGGCATCATGGACCTTCCACATGGCCAAGCGTTTTTATTTGTTTCTGCTATATTGTTTGGAGGCACTTGTGCGTTCGATCCGAAACCTAGTGGATAGTGAAGATGAAATCGTACACGGGTAGGACGTCCATGCGTATTGCTGGTTGTTGTGGTGTGCGTGAGTTGTGTCCGTAATAGAGGAATATTGTTGCAGCATGAGTGGTGGTGTTGTAGGCAAACTCCGAAACAGGAAGGTGCAAGTCCTTTCAGATGTCATCCTTGCAAGTTGCTCACGGAAGTTGCCCTACGATCTCGTTAAGTCATTCTATTTGTTTGTGAATGTGATGCTGATAATACAGTATTCTGGGTTTGGTGCCCATGAGACATAATTCCTTTCTAGAACATGCTGGTGAACTTGGAGTTTTTGTCAAAAATGAGCGTTGTTAGAATGCTGTCCTTGACATGATGTAGCAGATGAACAACTATGTCATCTCCTTTGTGCATGCTATAATGTGTTTCAGGATCAAGTGTCCCATTCTGGAGAATTTGTTCATGATGATTAAGATAGAGCACTCATGCTTTTGTTTGGTTGCTACTCTTCATTCCTTCAACCTATATGGGGCAACATGTGCAAGCCGGCTGAGAGTGTTAGCTTTCCCTTTGTGCCCCGAGGTAACATCTCCATGCGTTGAAGATGATAATGATGCCAAGGTCATCCTTGTCATCTTTTGGGGGTTTTAGCATTGCCCCAAAAT